ATTTTGGGAGTCAAATTTAGAAAAAGTGTGTTTTTAAAAATGTTTTCATCATATTTTATAATTTGTTTTTTAGTAAATTATATATATGATATGATGAAAATAATAGTATCTTTAAAAAGACCATTTAATGTTGAGAAAAACGGTATATAATATGTGTGGGTACAGTAAATGAGTAAGAGGAAAATTACAGCTAAACACAAACACTGCAGAAATGCAAAAACAGCCCTGGTCCTTCACGGTAAGAAAATTGAGAAACAGTCTGGCCACTAAGGAGTTAAACCTTCTTAAAAAGCCATTCAACTCTTGATTTTTTCTTTCTTAACTAATATAAATGAGTAGTTTCTTATCTGTATTTGTGGTTAATGAGCATAAAGAAGCTCATTCTCTAAGTGCAATGTGTCCCTTGAATAATAACGTCACTGAGAGTAACTGTTTGTTGATAAGTTAAAAGAGATGTCCTGGTATCCTATGCTAACCATACATTGGAGACTCACACTCTTGCGAGGTACTAACTAATTAAAGAGTTGATCATGGCAAATTATGTATCACATTAGTATGATATATAAAGTCTACTTACTTAGTAACACATATATTGTGTATTTGCATTTCCACATGAAAACCGCATGTTATCACTGTCAAGTATTATATAAAAGGTCCCAATTTGACTTTTAAAGTGACTTTTACATTTAAGGCCAGAGTAATCAAACTCAAAGGGCTATTTTGACCTTTACTTTAAAATTCATATTGAATTCTCACTTTGGTTAATAACATGATAGCTGCAATAGAATAATGAAAATATGGTTAGCACTAATGATTAATAACTTTGGAGCAGCTTAATTACAATACTCTTAGCTTAGATTTTGAACAATCACTATTTAAGTACTTGTTTGTCTCCCATGTTAATATTAGTGTAGGAACCACCGATATTGGGGTACTGTGACGTTGTGGGCTTAACACGATATGGCCACATAGTGGAACTGAATCCCCATATTTGTTTGCTGAGATAGGTGATTTTAAGTAGCCTTGTAAAATTTAAAACTGTATTTTTGTGTGTGCACTGTTACTTAATCTGTATTTCGACAGCATCACTGCTGAGAAAGGCATTTTTCAGGTGTGCCCCAAATTCCCATTTTTTTCTCTAATTCACAGCCTGGCTTCAGACAGTCAGAAAAACAAAAGACAGATAGTCATATCGTTACCATATGTCTCTCTGGGTGTTCTCTCTTTCTAAAGCAGTTTTATCGTAGTTCAGATCATCCAGTACTCTCAGTGGCTGAGCTGTGCATAAATATTAGATAAGGAAGTCTTTTTTTGTGAAGTGAGAAGCATTTCTTCACTAATTCATAGGTACGCCCCTTCTCGGTCTCTCTGCACGGCCGGTAACCTTCTCCTAAATGCTGCTGGCAAGCTTACTTGCTCCTTTACTTTGGAACAAACTGTCTATCTCCATAAGACTCTCCCCTAGTCCCCAATCATTTAAGAAGTCCCTCAAAACCCATCTCTTCAGAAAAACTTATGAATAGAAGTGATTTCTAGTTCACAAACTTGCTCTTTCCTAAAGGGCCACACTCTACTCTCACATCTGGTTCTGCTACATGTCCTTCTTGTTGTTTGGTTGCTTTCCCCTACAATGCCCTTCCTATTGTGTTTTTATACCCTACCTCCTCTATATTGTAAGCTTGTTTGAGCAGGGTCCTCATCAACCTATTGTTCCTGTAACATTTTGCAATTGTCTCATTTGTTGATAAATGTACCCTTTTTATAATATTGATATGCAATGTGGAATAGGTTGGTACTATATAAATTCCATAAATAATAATCATAATGATAAAAGCACTGATGGTGCTGAAGAAATAGTAAGTATTAATGTTATCGCTATTAAAGCAATTAAATATAGATTTTAAAGTGAACTTGTCATCACACAATACATGATTTCCAAAATCAAGTTATGTAGAGAATAAAATGTGCATACATTTCGGAGATAAATATATGGAGGTTGAGAGTAACCACATAAAGACTGGATCAGTCAACTTTTGGAATTATATGAAAGATGCAATTGTCATTATAATGATTATAATGGAGCGTCGTTCATAAATTTCAGCATAATATAATATTGTTGATGCCCATAGCAAGCAAGCCATATTAATTCAGTAGCTACAGGTGATCGTAAGCTACCGACTGCAGAGTAATAACATTGCCATTGCCTAGCAACAGAAAATACTCTAGTAAGTCATAAGTTACAGAAACTCACATAACTCATAAAACACTGATTACGTTTTGCCATTGCCAGACAAACATCCTGATGTTTACAAGGCCATAGCATACATTTAACTATACGTAAATGGCAATAATACATATCTGCAATGCACTGACTTTAATTTTATAAGGTAATGTGCAGCAGGAAATGTTAAAACTCTCTAGAATAGAACATCACATCTTGATAAAATATACCAATTTTCTCATCATTACAGTGCCGTCCATGAATGAGAGTAGAAGACCAGTACTCCAATGTGAATTGGAGAGTCCTATTGTTTTTTTTAGATAACTCATTGGGACCCTTTGGCCTAGAGTTGCTAAGATGACCTATTGCCTTAACTGGAGTAGGAGCAGGACCTGGATACCTACTGTGAGTTTCCATTGAGGTCCATACACCTGTTCTCCGAATTGTGCAATCAATGTGAATGGAGGCTATCTAGACTGGACCATGCAGGAGAGTCTGTCACTCTCTATTATGGAATATGTACAGAAAAAGAGGGAACCAGCTGATATTCTAAGAATAAAGAATTGTACAAAACATAGTGTAAATCCACATTAATTGAATTACATGTGCTGTTATCAAATGTACTCACAAGGTAGAAGGGTAATCAGGCATATATAAGCTGCTATTTTTCAACCTACCACCTGGACTCTTGCATCTTAGTGGTGAACGTCCAGAGAAGTAGATCATAAGATGAAAAAGCAGCAGGAGGATCCTATGTGGATTATTGATTCTGCACAATCCACTAACTCATAGGTCTATTGAGCATCGGCCACACATGGATTTGCAGGATAAACCAAGGAAACCATAGATACATTTGTTTGGCCTGGAGAGACACTGTCTCCAGCTATTTGACAAAGCAGCCAATAACTCATTCTGACAGCATCATAGTGACCTGGACTGTGTAGACATGTAACATTTGTCAGATGCATGCAGCCCTGGTTCATACAGTTGATATATATGAAGAACATGGTTATTGTCCGAGAATGTTGATGCTCATAGTACAGCAACATCACTTATCTTGTGGACAGGCGGAGGGTATGGATGTAACTTCTATACTCTTTGGATTTCTACTTCAAAGTGGAAGATTAATGTATGCTTTGTTTTGTTTGTTTCTTAAGTTATGGTTTAATTACATTTATGATTGCTGATAATGACTTTATTGTTTGTTCTATGCTTGCAATAGTTTATCATGTACTCCTTTGCGTGTTCAAGTGGTTATTTTTGGTAGTGGGATGCTTTCCACTTTTAATAATGCCTTTGCTCATCTAGTGAATATAGTGAACATCCCTACTCATTTACTTCCAGTTAATTGCTCATTTTTAGCTTCCATAATGATAGCCCACTACTTATTCAGTACTGTTTACTAGTCGTGATGCTCCACCTCAGAGAAATGTGGAGGACACTGTCAATCAACTCAATTTCCTCAGAAGACATACTCTCTTGGGAATATTTACCATTACTTTTCACATTGCTATTCACATTGTTCTATTTAACTGTCTCTTTTTCCAATTTGTTTCTTCTTTTCTCTTCTTTTCCCCATCCATTTATTATAAGCCTTTTTTATTTAGCACCAAAATAATGGGACATTTAGAGATTCACGACCATATCTAACATCAATAGCATTTTTAATAGAGTGTGAGCACAGATAAAGACAGTACATGCAGAGAAATATGTAAAGAACAGTGTATAGAAATTGAATATAATTTCACAGTTGTTTGATAATACCTCGTTTTTCATGTTATATGAACAAAAGTTAGACAACAAGAAAACATGCTAGTCTATCATGTCTAAGCGTTTGACAACGCACTAAAAGGTATAACAGGCATGTGAATATAGGAAAATTCCACATACAACTAGGTGGTAACACTGCACATGGTTAACCCTCTTTAGAAAAGGTTAAATCGATTTGGTGTCTATAACTAAGTAGCGATTCTTCATAGAATACTAGTTGGGCACAAGGAAACAGACGTTTTCACTAGTTTCTTTGGTATGTTACTGCACTTCTAAGTTTGAAAAAATTAAAAACAAAAAGTAAAAGGCAAGAAATAAAAGGCAGGATCTCTGCACATATGTGAAAATGTCAGCAAGAATCAGGATCACAGGTTTAGGTAACCATTATTTAGCCCTTGGTGGAAAAGCTGCGTCAGCCAGTACCTAGGTTTGGGAACTCTTGGAGACAGCTGAGAGGCATTGCTGGACAAGACGGCCCAGCCTCAGGCCGTAGTGAGGACCTGCATCCTGAAACCACAGACTTGCGGGCCCGTGGCAGAGTCCAAGATCTTCTTTTTTAGGGTCTGACAGAGACTCCAGGTGTTCATTTGCCGCCTGCGGCGTAGAGTCACCTGCCGCTGTGGTTAATTATGTGGGAATATATCCCTCACCTTCTGCTTCCTGCTCTCCCTCTCAGCCTTGTACCGGTGCTGCCACAATACGAGCCTCCAGTTGCACCCAGAAGTGAACAAATATTTTGTTGAGGCATGCCAGTGCTTAAATGTGCCAGATGGAGCTGTATCAGACTGTGCAGGCCGATGTTCAAGTGAATTGCATTTGTCCGCCATCTTGGAGAAGCATGCAGCGGTTCAAATCTGTGCAATATTAGTTGCTTGCATACAGCAGAGGTAAGTAGAGCTTAAGGTGCCAGGATGTCCCTCCCTCACGGGCGTCGGAGGGGGGAAGGGTGTTCCACCAAGGCGTCTGTAACAGATCACCTTGCACCCCGACTGGGTACCTCCATTGAAGGATGCTCCTAGCGCTTCCTGAGGACTCCAAGCACTCCAGCAGACACCATAACCACCGTAGACTCCTTCAGGTAGCAGAACAGGAACAAGCTCTTACAAGAGCTTAGTAGTGATATAGCAAGAGAGTATGACTAGCATAGCAATCCCTTGTAGCAGATTCCCCTAATAAAAGACAGCACTCCAAATTGAGGGTGAAGTAGAACTCTGTTTACTTGGCACCAAAGGGCCTTCTTTTATGCAGGTTTAACACATACAGGACCACCCACAGGGTTTTTCAGAACAACCAATAAAAACATTACAACACATACAATAAAGTAAACCACTCCCAGCAGAAATCCTCCCCTCTGCCTGTGATACAATTATCTCAAGACAATAGACTAACTTAATTAGCACAGGCAGAAAATATACAGTTTTTACACAATTCTTATAACTTTAAAGGTATGAATGCAATATTAATAATAGAGTCCTTCAAATATAAATATACTCAAAAATCATTCAAATTGGTCCAGTGGTTCAAAAGTTAGGTCGAAAGTCCTTTGTGACCACTGAAGCATGGCTTTTCCAGCCCAAACCAGTTCCACGGAGTCCTCTATCCTGGAGATAATTGGGAAGTAATCCAATTATTTCCAAGGACAGAGGCAAAACTCCATTGAACACATGGTATCAAAAGACAATAAAATACATAAAAATATATAACTGTGCAGCTATTGCATAAAACAGGTACATTCAACATCCTCAGATAGCTTAGATCTGAGCGCACATTATTGCTGAATGGTGCTCAGATCACATACATACAGTTCAATTGCCATGGAGCCAAAGTCTTTCACATAGTCTTTCGTTATACGAATGGGCTCCCTGGCATAGCTATCTGGTGTATCACTGTTCAAATAGGGCAAGTACCGAATGACCCGGCTTTCGTGTCTTTGCAGGGGAAAATCAAGCGTTTCAACATGGGGCCATTCTAAAGGCAGCAGGCTGGCAACCAGGCTCCTCCAATGCACAGTGGCGAGATTGGTCTCGTCACAGCGTTCTTTGGTAGATTGTGAGTAGAGGGATCGGCTGCCTTTCCCACCCTCGTGTCTGCAGGTAGGCTGCAGCTAGGCCACAGGGTTGCCCCAGTAGGATGCTGACCGGAGGTAGTGGGGCCAAAAGCAAAGTTTGGTAGCCCCAGGAATGCTATAATTCAACAGGTTTGGCTAAAGTCAGAATTATCGGTCAGAAAGACAGCTAAATAGTCAAGATAGAGAGTCTTATTTAGGAGCTCATGTGATGTGCGCCCACTGCCATGCCAGTCAGGCCTCGCCCCCCCATAATGCACCTTTTTAAATCTAATTAGTGACAAGCTCTGTTAGTCATTAATTAAGGTAGACAGGTTTACACCCCCTACCCTCAGCCATGACCAGGGAGTAAGGGCTATTACATTTAAAAAAAACCAGCAAGGACATTGTAGTCCTCTATAGTCCCAGCTCATGGCAGCACATAGGGGATATGTGAGAAAGGGGTGGTGGACATGCATTTGCTTATCAACCAACCCCCACCAATATTTTTAAAATGGGCATGAAAGGTTTTGTTTGTTTACACTGGGTCTGTGGTGTAGGTTCTGTCATTTTTAACAATGTGGGTTATTTGGTGGCTACCCGGTTTGGATTGTGCTAGATGCATAATTGACTTTATCTACCTTTAGAAGGAATCTAAAAGCTGTTTCGCCTCTAAAAGTCTGTTTTTATAGTACATGAGTCAGTACGACTATGTATGCTAGTTGAGTGTTTGCCAAGTCTATATTACTTTTGTTATATTTCTGATTCCATTGTTTTTTTTATAATTAGGAACATATGCTATGATTTGGCCTCCCACCAAAGCCTTAGAAGTCTGCCCATTTTGTTATCTATATGGTCCAAGTTGTTCTCTGTTGTCACGGCTGCTAGTGTGGTCCAACAAGCGGAAACTATGTAAACATATACATAAAAAAAGGAAGTAAATAAAAGGACAGAACGTAAACCAGACCTTAGAATGACAGGACTAATACGCTAGAGATAGAGAATGGTCAAAGGGAAAGCCGAGGTCAAGGAAGCCAAAAATATTCAGATACTGTTTAAACAAGCCAAGTCAGGGGAACCAGAATTCGGAATAACCAGGGAAAAGCCAAGATCAGGATACCAGGAAGTCAGATTCACAAGGATAAATGCACTCTCGGGAACCAGGAACAGGAAACCACGACAGGGCAAGGAACTTGAGTGAATTAGGGATTTAAATATCCCTCTCTGGGCTCTGATTGGTCAGAGGGTGATCTCTGACCCCAGAAAGTGCATGTGCGTTGACATCGTGACGTCACGCGCACGTCTGTATAAATTTGAGGTGCGGAGCTTGTGGTGTGCGCGACCACGTGGTCAGTGCCATCTTTGATTTGGGCGCAACGCCCAGAAGACGCGGAGGAGCGGTTCCTCAAATTTACCTCAAAACTAAATTGATTCTGGATGACTTGTTATGAGCGCTAGATGGTACATGATGTTTTGCATCATCTTTCTGATCATCCTGGGAGTTGGACAACAGAGGAGAGACAGATCTATCCATCCGTCATGTTGAAGTCGCCTCTTATAATTATTATTATTGGCATTTATATAGCTACAAATTATTCTGCAGTACTTTACAATATTATAAATATAAAGGGGAAATTTAGCAATAAATGAGACACATACAAAATGTATGTAACAATAGATTGATGAGGACCCTGCTACAATGAGCTTACAATCTATAGGTAGAATATAAAAAAGACAATAGTGTCACGATAGTGACCCCTTCTCACAGAGTATAACCCAGAGGAGGACGTACACCAGATCTTAGAGTGGCCGGACTAACGTTATAGAGTAGTCAAAGGGATAGCCAGAGGTCAAGGGATTACAGAAGATGGATAAACGATATAACCTAGCCAAAATACAGAGAACCAGAGAGCAGAATAGTCAAAACGGAGAGCCAATAGTCAATAACCAGAAAACAAACACTCAAGAAATATATAAGCACTAGAGGAACCAACAGGAACAACACTAGGGCGCCTTACAACTTACAGGGATGTCTTTATATAGTGTGGGGTTTCTAAATATGCATTTTCTTTCCTGACTACGGCGCGCCGTTTCATAAATGGGAGTGCGTTGTGAGCAGCTGGCGTCAGAAGGGCTGTGCCGCTCACCGGAAGTGTTTGAAGAGAACGCCGTGCTGCGTGGTTCCGAGGAGGAAGGGTAAGGTATTGTTACAGTACCTCCCCTCTAGAACTACCCTCAGGGCAGGCGGAATGCTGCATTTCAAATAAATGAACCAGGCGCGGGGCGTGAACATCAGATGTATCCACCCATAAATGCTCTTCGAGACCGTAACCCTTCCAATACAAGAGATATTGAAGTTTTCCCCTAGAAACACGGGAATCTAAAATGAACTTCACTTCGTATTTGTTTTGATCCTCAACTATAGGAGGAAGAGGTTTCAAGGGTCTTTGAGTAAAATGATTACATATTAAAGGTTTGAGAAGGTAAACATGAAATGAGTTAGGTATCTTCATGGTAAAACGCAGTCTATAACGCAAACGCAGACGCAGTCTATGGCAAACGCAGTCTATAACATACAGGGTTGATGTGTTTAATGACTTAGAATGATCCCATAAAATGTGGGTCAAACTTCATGGACGGGACTTTAAGTTTTATGTTACGAGTACTCAGCCATACTCTGTCTCTCACCATGAATTTAGGGGCAGCCCTTTGATGCCTATCAAATCAAAATATGTTTAACACCTAACCAAGTTTCTTTCATATCCTTGACAGTGCTGTAAACACTCGGCACTCCTGTAGATGAAAAAGAACTCGGAAGGGTAGTAGGGTTAAAACCGTAATTGATAAAAAAAAGGGGGCTGTGTTGAGTAGATTCGTGCACCTGATTATTACGGGCAAATTCAGCCCATGGCAGCAACTCTACCCAATCATCTTGATGTTCTGAAGTGAAACAGCGGATATACTGTTCTAGACATTGATTCATCCTTTCCGTAACCCCATTCGATTGGGGATGGTAAGAAGAAGATTAAGGTGGATACCTAATTGTTTACAAAATGCTCGCCAGAACCGTGAAACAAATTGCGGACCCCTGTCGGAAACAGTATCTTGGGGTATGCCATGTAAATGTACCACCTCCCTTATAAACAAAGAAGCCAGTTCGGAAGAAGAAGGTAATTTGATAAGTGGAACCAGATGGGACATTTTAGAGAATCTGTCTATAATAGTCAATATAACACTGTGATTCTTAGAATGAGGCAGGTCAACTACAAAATCCATGGCAATACTCAACCAGATATATCTGGAATAGGCAATGGCACGAGAAGACCAAAAGGACGACCTTTGGGTGATTTAGTAGAGGAACAGATACTACAGGCAAGAACAAATTCACGAACATCCTTCTTCTATGAAGGCCACCAGAATTGTTTCTCAAGTAACGATTCAGTTTTATGTATTCCTGGATGCCCTGCCAGTTTGGAATCATGCACAAGGGATAGGACTCTATTTCGATAGGCTAAGGGCATGTACGATTTTCCCCGGGGAAAAGTCAATGAAGTACGATCCTGGAATTTGGATAGTTCTTCCATCAATCCCAAAGAGATTTTACCATGAACAGTGGCAACTATGTGATCAGTAGAGATTATGGAGGACAATAAGTTTTTGGGGGGTGATAAATGTTCATATTGGCGGGATAGGGCATCAGCTTTAATATTTTTTGATCCAGGTCTATATGTTACAATGTAATTGAAACAAGTTAAAAATAAGGACCACCGGATTTGCCTGTTGGACATTTTTTTTGCTTCTCCGAAATAAGAAAGGTTCTTATGATCAGTAAGAATGGTAATAGGGACGGGTGACCCTTCTAGCAAGTGACGCCATTCTTTAAGAGCAGAAATAATAGCCAACAATGCCCTATCCCCGATATCATATCTTTTTTCCGTTTCCGTTAACTTCTTGGAAAAGAATCCACAGGGATGTAGAGGTTGATCATCCGAAGGTCTTTGAGATAGTACAGCCCCTATACCTGTTTCTGATGCATCTACCTCAAGTAGAAAAGGATGGGAAGGATTGGGATGTCTTAATACTGGGGCTGAAGAAAAAGCTTCTTTTAACCTCTCAAACGCTCTCTTAGCCTCTAGACCTCACTCCATATGATTCCTTCCTTTTTTTGTCATG